TGAGTGTGTGTGAGTGTGTGTGTGTGTGTGTGTGTGTGTGTAAGCATAAGCTCACCTTGATGCGTCCCAGTTCGAACTGAAAGATGTTTGGACTGGTTGCTTGTGCAAACACTGCAGGGAAAAGTTTAGTACTGGGCTCCACCTGCAGACACAGTTACGCTGCTAGTTAGTCCTAGTTAACCAGTCCCTGCATCACAGGCTGCTTGGAGGAATGAACAGTACCTGGTAGAAGGTGCTGAGCTCTTTGCCGTTGGAGGTGAAGGTGAGGAGGCCGTTGGCTGTATCTACCAAACACCCGATCTCCAGCCCGTTATTACTGCGGCCCTGACTGGGATTGCTGCACTCGCCGCCCCAAACCATGTAGCAGTTACTGCGCTTGATGCTGCGAAACAGACGCAGACTGCTACTGTACAACCATTCCATACATTAGATATCTGTAACTGCATCTGCAGACAGATTCACACTGTGCTCCTGCAGCATCAGTGTCACTGACCTCTCGTGAACTTTGCCCTTCTCGTCTCCCAGGGTAACGGTGACCATTCGGACCGTGCTGAGCTCAAAGGCCGGGTCGTGCTGATGAAAGTCTGAGGTCACCCAGCCGACCCACACGCTGGATGGCTCCTGGCCGGGGAAGATCCTCACCGAGTAATAATACTGACACACAGAGACAGAACACGACATTTAACACTCGGCTTAAAGCTGAAGAGCGTGCCGTTCTGATGACTTGAGCTCTGTCTCTCACCGCTGATGTCTGTATGAGATTCTCACAGTCGTCTCTCTCATCAGCCAAAACCTCCTCTGACAGACGAGCGCTGGAGTTACTGCTGGTCATTTCAGGCTTCGTTCTTTTCAACATGAACCTGAACACAAACACGTGTAAATTACAGACAAAAGCACTTTATCAAACACATCATCATCATCATTCACACCAAAATCAGACTCAAACACATCTTTCTTTCTGTTATGTGTCCGAACACAATTCAATCCAAAACTAAGGATGCAACAGCAGCATTAACGGTCGTCTCTAAATGTCATTTTTCTCTTTCAGATCAATAATGTCATGTGTGTGTGTCTGTATAATGACCTCTGCTTGATTTTGGAGGGTTTCTCCTGATTATGATCCTTGTGGTTGTTGAACTCATCTCGCTCTCTGTCGGGTCCGTTCGAGCTCACGTGACTGTGTGGCGTCTTCATCAGGACCTCGAAGTCCGACACCGTCTCGAAGTCCTCCAGATCTCTCTTGGGAGAGAAGAAGCTGCCGCTGGCTGCACGCAGAAACGCCTCTGAGCACTCGATGGGCATGCTGAGACGATAGAACATGATGTCTGTGCTACTGTTCTGTGAGCCGAACGACCTCTGGGTGACCTTTAGGCACGGCGGGCTCTCCACCGTCCCGTCGATCCGTGTGACCTGCAACACACAGAGAATGCTGTGAACGCTCGGTACGACGCCGCTCGACCCAAAGCACACGTGTGGCGTGACCTGACCTCGATGTGCTCGTGGTTGAGCGGGACGGGGATGAACTGAGGCAGCCGTTTGCTGATCCACATGGTCAGATCGCGGTTCATGTTGACGGCGAAGGGTTCGTAGCCCTCCTGCAGGCCGCAGATGGTGAAGTACTTCAGCGTGCTCACGTTCTTCCCAAAGTTCATACGGCCCACCTGACACACACCCAGACTACAGACCGGGATGAAACCTGACAACAACGTAAGACAGGAACGCTCAATTACACATCAGTAAATCATCACTAGAGCTCATAGTGATGGAATCCTTGTCTAATTTGTTTCCTACTCACAATTACTGCAGAAAATGCACATTTGTGACCTTGGAGCACAAAACCAGTCTTAAGTGTCAATTTTTCAAAATTGAGATTTCTACATCATCTGAAAGCTGAATAAATAAGCTTTCCATTGATGTATGGTTTGTTAGGATAGGACAATATTTGGCTGAGATACGACTATTTGAAAATCTGGAATCTGAGGGTGCAAAAAAATCTAAATATTGAGAAAATCATCTTTAAAGTTGTTCAAATGAAGTTCTTAGCAATGCATATTACTAATCAAAAATTAAGTTTTGATATATTTACGGTAGGAAATTTACAAAATATCTTCATGGAACATGATCTTTACTTAATATCCTAATGATTTTTGGCATAAAAGAAAAATCTATAATTTTGACCCATACAATGTATTGTTGGCTATTGCTACAAATATACCCCAGCGACTTAAGACTGCTTTTGTGCTGCAGGGTCACATTTAGTTAATGTCACATAGTACACTGCAAAAAGTGATGTTCGTAGTATTTTGTCTAAATATTTTTGAATCAAGATGCACAATGACATGAGGTGAGATGACAAAATGAAGTGAGTTTATGCTTAAAACAAGAACAAATATCTGCCAATGGGTTCAGAAAAATCAACTGAATTCAAAGGGAAAACAAGTAGATTTTTCTGAATCCATAAACTCACTTCGTTTGATCAATTTCTTAGAAAACAAGACTTCTCATGTCATTTTGCATCTGAAGTAAATGCATCTTGATTTAAGAATTTTTTATATATTTGTACTGGAAAACAAAACAAAAATACTGAGGAAGAACATCAGTTTCTGCATTGCAGTTAAATTAAGCTTGCAAAATACAAATGATAAAAACTAAATACTCTCACGGATGACAGAGCTGCTGCTGACATGATAGAATAAGACAGAAATGCTGATACAGATCAGTGAGTAATGGTTGATGTATGTCCGTGGTCAGCAGGTGGCGCTCATCTCTAGTTCCTACACTGCAGGATCTGTGAAGAGCCGTAATGATGAATGACACAGCAACACTCTCCTGCTGCTCTCAGAAACACTCCCTGAGACATCAATGAGACACAACAGCTGCTGCAACTAATGCACATGAGTGTGAGTGAGTGTGTGTGTGTGTGTGTGTGTGTGTGTGTGTGTG